CAATATTATTTTTAAAATGAATTTTAGTTTTAATATATATAAAAAATTAAAAAAATTAATTAAAATAGGTACAAATTGGCCTTGGGGGCAATTTGCAAAGATTTAAAAAAAAAAAAGAAATTTTCTTGCTTGATAGGGATTTTAATTATTTTAGTTTGTAGGAAAATAAAACTTTTGATCCTGAACTTTCACTTTCTTTTTTAACTTTCAGATTTTCTTTAAAATATCTATTTTAATTCATAATTTTTTTTAAAAATAACTCTAATTTTTAAGTCATCTACTGTACTTTTAAAAAATAATTATTTTTTGTCCTTTCTTTATTTTGCCCTCTAACCTATGACTCTTCTAGTAAATGTGTATGTTTGCAAGTTAATCTATGTGTTATAAGTAATTTACTAAATAATTAAGGAAAAATTAACCAGGATCATGAAAATAGTTATTTATTAAATTTTTTGGGACTAAAATATACCTGTAAAAAGTTTGAACCAAAATAGATAAATTTTGCACTTAAAAAAAATTAAAAGACTAAAGACTAAAATCGGCTATTCTCAAAAGAAGAAGGAAAAAAAAAGTGGGTAAAATCCGGGACCATAATTGAACACTGTTGAAAGTAATTTTAATTTAATAAGTAGACTTAATTTTTTATCTTTAAAACTGTTTACTATTTTTATTTTTAAGAATTCAAACCTTATAACTCGTCCAAACGAAAGGTTTAAATATTATTTCGGTCTTTTACCTTTTTAGTTTTTTTTCTTATTTTTGTCCCCATATATATATATATATATATATATATATATATATATATATTTCATTTCATTTCAGCCATCATGCATATTTTAAAATGTTTATTTTGATTTATATAGGGATAGGTCCGAATTGGGATTAGAGAGGCACGATCCCTTCAATATTACTTAAATTAAATGTAGTATACAATCTTTTTAATAACTGATGTTTGGCTTTGTGTCATGCTATCTACTTTTTTTATTATTTATTTTTCTTTGATAAATTTAAATTTATAACCTAAACTTACATAAATGTACTAATTTTTATCCATCTATTTAATCAAAATTCATTAATTGTCAAATTAATCGAGCGGTTAAGCTACCTATCTCTGACCAAAAGGTCATGAGTTCGAATCCCCACCTCCCATGTTGTAATAAAAAAAAATAAAATTCTAACCTAAATGCTATACACGCAAAACTCTTTAATATAAATTTATTACAATATTATAAAGAACTTAATGAAGATAAATGTTGAAATTTTGGTAGAAATAAATAAGATTAAAATAAAATATAATCACTTAAATGATTATTGTTACTTTTTAGAGGTACAAACACCAAAATAAACTTTTAAATTATAAGTATAAAAAATAGATAAAAGCTAAAAACTAAAAAATACAACGAACAAAATCTAACTTTTGAATATACATTAACTAAAAAAGTTGTAAACTTTATAGCTTTGAAAGGAAGGACACAATTTGTTTTATAAAAATACAACAAGAAGACTAAATTAAAAATAAATAAAACCTTGAACTTTATATTATGTTCTAAAAATATTATTATCATTTTAAAAGTTTTAATACTACCCTGGATCTTTTCATAAATATTTCAAAAAATATATTCCGAGAAAGCTTTCGCAAATATTTTGAATGAAAAATTGACATGACAGAATCTAAAATAATTCGACTATAAACATAGAAGTTTACGTTGAACAATTAGCTGGTACTACAAAACAAATTTGAGCTTTAATGTGGTCGATTGTGGACTTGTCTTTGTTACTACTAGTGATTTTTTTGTTATGGTCATTAAAGGTCAAATTAGTTGTAGTGCTAGATAATTGTTACTAGCAAACTTCCACTTTAATTATCACAGTTTAGATTCTGTCATGTGAACTATATTCAAAATATTAATGGATATTTACTCACATGTATTTTTTAAACATTTATGATTTATGAAAAGTTAAAAGTAGTATTGAAACTTTTGAAGTGATATATATATATATATATATATAT